TTTTTTGAGACAGGATCTTGTTCTGTCACCCATGTAGAGTGCAGTGGTGTGGTTTCAGCCCACTGCAACCTCCACCTCCTGGGTTCAAGTGATTCTCCTGTCTCAGCCTCCCGAATAGCTGGGACTACAGGCCTGTGCCACCACACCCAGCTAATTCTTGTATTGTTAGTAGAGACAGGGTTTCACCATGTTGGCCACGCTGGTCTCAAGCTCCTGACCTCAGGTGATCCCCCTGCCTTGGCCTCCCAAAGTGCTGGGATTACAGATGTGAGCCACGGCGTCCAGCCCATTCTATGCCATCTTCTTTACTGCTCTGGACCACATATTTGTGTCCCCAGGCCAAGCACATAGTAGGAACTCATGAGAAGTTTGACACATGAATTCATCTTTGTATTCCCTTTTCAGCATGTGCATATACCCTTAATATAGAAACAAGTAATTGGACCAGTGAGCAAACCAAACAGCAGTGACTGCCACATATGAGCGTGTTTGGAATCTCATTACCTGCATTTTTCAGGACAGAGGTATGAGTTCATAATGCCTACAGGTTCTAAAACCATCTTGGTCCCTGGTGTGTATGCCAACAGAAGGTATTGTTTTTACTATTACTGCTATTATTAAAAGCAAAGGCCTCTTGGGATGTGCACTTCCAAGCCCTGGGCTGGGGCTGTTAGTTCCCAACAAGGACAAGATGAGGAAGGAGTGGTTCTCAAGGCAGTGGTCAGAAGGCCAGTCCCACGGGCCTGCACTGGGGTCAGAGACCAGCTTTTGAAAAAGGAAAATGAGCTAAGATCTGGCTATTGTAATTCGCTTATCTCTGACTTCCTGCTGAGGCTGGTTGGTTTCTGGAGCTCTATAGAGTTCCCTGGTGGCTTCTCAGCAGCAGGCCTGAGACCCAGAACCAGTGGTCATGTTTGTGAGCAAATGATTGAGGAGGATTTGATGCAAAATGGGCCCCGAGTGTTGGGGTTGAAAAGTGACTGTCAGTTGTGATACTTTTTTTCCACTTCTGGGCAGCCCCAGTTGGCCCGCTCTGTGGGTTTTTCCCTCCAGCTTTGCAGATCTGTAGGCATATTTATTTGTGAGTGGAGTAAGCGGAATTTTTCAAAGAGAAGGGGTTTGCCAAAGATGAAAAGAAAACAACTTGGGATAAATGGCTCATCTGGCAATGGGAAATGGCCTCTGGCAGTGAGGGATCTTTAACCTTGTCTGAGCAAGCAGAGGGGAATTTGGCTTCTGTGTCATCTCAGAGAAAGAACCTTTCTGCCTCCCTGCTGAGGCTAGACCTAGGGGAGAAAGAACCAAAAACTTTACCCCAGACACCATTTGAGAATGTAGAAGTTTCCCTGTCCAGTCAGCTCTTGTGCCCCTCCTGGTCCAAGGCCCCATGATTTCTGTTCCTCGGGTGGAGGGTGGGAATGGACTGATTGGAACAGTGAATGGCTCTCAAGCGTTTCATTCTCAGGACTCTTACAGATACTGAAACACTCCACAGACCTTGTGTTGAAATGGGGTATGTCTGTGGATATTTACTGTATTCAAAATTAAAACTGAGGATACACAGGTGTGTGTTCTGTTAGCTATGGGTGATGTCTTCACACAGCATGTAGAAACCACTCATGAGGAAAGAGTGAAAAAGGCACATACAGTCTTAGTATTGCTGTGAAGATAGTCTCGACCTCCTAGACCTCCCCCAGAAGGGTGTCAGAGACAGACCCCTGGGGTTTCTGAACCACACGCTGAGAACTGCATTGGATTAGAAGCTCTGCAGGTGCCTCTTCATTCTCACTTGGCCCTGAGCACTTTGTGAGTTTCTCAGGATAAACCATCCACCCGTGGACTTGCTGTAGCCTCGCCTTGCCTCCTTGACCTTTTTTTTCTTTTTGTGAGATGGAGTCTTACTCTGTTGCCCAGGCTGGAGTGCAGTGGTGCAATCTCGGCTCACTGCAACCTCCACCTCCTGAGTTCAAGTGAGTCTCCTGCCTCAGCCTCCCGAGGCTGTGACTAGAGGCATGTGCCACCATGTCCTGCTAATATTTATTTTTTATTTTTATTTTTTTTAGTAGAGACAGGGTTTCACTGTGTTGGCCAGGCTGGTCTCAAACCCCTGACCTCAGGTGATCCACCTGCCTGGGCCTCCCAAAGTGCTGGGATTGCAGGCATGAGCTACTGTGCCCGGCCCCCTCCTTGACTTCTTCCCCAGCACCCTTCTGTCTCCTCTGTAGATTGCAGCTGCCCTTGTGGCCTTAAAAGTACGGGGTGAATCTGTTCCCGTCACACCTGCCAGCACAGCCTCCATTGCTTCACTCAGAGTGAAAGCTCATCTCCCTGCCTCGCATGAGGCCCTGTGTGATGGGGTCACTCTGCCTTCCCCACCTTCTTTCCTGCTGGCCCCTTCTTGCTTTCTCAGCTGTGGCCACACTGGCCTTTGCTGTTCCTCACATGGGTCAAGCTCAGTTCCCACCTCAGGGCCTTTGCATGTTGCTATTGCCCTTTCCTGGATCATTTTCCCAGATATCTTCCTGGCTCTCCTTCATTTGCTGAGATACTGCCTTATCGGAAAGGCGCTCCCTGTCGGACTTATGTAAAGTGGTGCCCCTGGTGTCATGCCTGTACTCTGTCCCCCTGGTGTCATGCCTGTACTCTGTCCCCCATACTTCAGCTTTCCTTTTCTCCATAGAACTTAGCCCCTCTGGACAGAGCATGAGTACATGCTTCATTCATTGCATGTCTAGTTTCTGTCCCACCACACCAGAGTGTAGGCACCACAAAGCCAAGAACTTTATTCAGCGTAATGCTGTATTCCCAGGGCAGAAAGCATGGCCCGGCACCTAACAGGTACTTACCAGGTCTTTGTCATATAAACGAAAGGGAACGACTGAGTCCCCATATACATTTGATCCATGAAAAACACGGGTTTGAACTACACGGACCCGCCTCTGTGCAGAAGTTTTTCGGTAAACATATTGAGAAAGTTTTTTGGAGATTTGCAACAATTTGAGAAAACTTGCAGATGAATTGTGCAGCCTGGGAATAGTGAAAAAAATTAAGAAATTTAGGTATGTCAGAAATACATAGAATGTACGTCGATGCTAGTCTATGTATTGATTGACTGTTTATGTTATTGGTGAGGCTTCCAGTTATCACTATTAGTAGTTACGTTTTTGGGTAGTCAAAATACATAGTCAGAGATTTTACCATGTGTGTTGGGGCGGAGGGCGACCCCAGTCCCCTGTGTTATTCAAGGATCAACTGTACTTCATTTTGAATTCGTCTGCTATGTGTCTGGATCCCACACGCACTCAGCATTTCCCCATTTGATGTCGTGGAGCAAAGATGAGCGTTGGATTTCAGCAGCCCTGGGCTTGAATGCCGGCTCCTCCATTTCCCAAGCGGTTAGTGCTGGACAAGTGAGCTTCCTGTCTGATGCTTCATTTCTTCACTTGCAGAATGGAGAGCACATGCCTCACATTGCAGGCTGTTGGAAGAATGGAGGTTTGGGTGCTCAGGATTTATTAGCTCTTATACTGCCTGAATTCAGTGTTAGGCAAACAGAGAAAAGCCTTTTAAAAAATAGCTTTACTGAGGTATAATTCATAGACCATAAAATTTGCCCCAGTGAAATTGAAACGAGAGTGAGATACCACCTTACATCTGCAAGCATGGTCATAATTAAAAAGTCAAAAAACAATAAATGTTGGCTTGGATGTGGTGAGAAGGAGGTGCTTTCCTACTGCCGGTGAGGATGTAACTTAGCATAGCTACTATGGAAAACAGCATTGAGATTCCGTAAAGAACTAAAAGAACTACCTTTTGATCCGGCAATCTCACTACTGGGTATCTACCCAAAGGAAAAGAAGTCATATGAAAAAGACACAAGCACACAAACGTTTACAGCTGCACAATTCACAGCTGCAACGATGTGGGCGCTAAGTCCCACTCAACCAAGAAGTGGATAAAGAAAATGTGGCATATATACGCCGTGGAATACTGTTAAGCCATAACAAAAAATAAAAAAAGAAAAGAAATGATGTCTTTTGCGGCAACTTGGATGGAGCTGGAGCCCGATAGTCTAAGAGAAGTAGCTCAGGAATGGAAAACCAAATACTACATGTTCTCATTTATAAGTAGAAGGGAGCTAAACTATGAGGACACAAAGGCATAGAGAGATATAATGGACCCTGGGGACTTGGGGGTGGGGGAGGCTGGGAGAGGGATGAGGGAATGAGGAATAAAGGACAACATATTGGATGCAATAATCTCAGAATTCACCACTAAAGAACTCATCCATGTAACGAAAAACCACTGGTACCCCAAAAACGATTGAAATCTTAAAGAAAATTAAATTATACAAAGTATACACAGGTCAGTTGTTTAGTGTATTCATAGAGTTGTGCAACTATTAGCACCTTTCAATTTGAAAACATTTTCGTCACCCCTGAAATGGAACGTCTTTCTCATGAGCAGTCACTTCCATTATGCCCTCCCTGCCAGGTGCTGCCAAACACTAATTTACTTTCTGTGTCTGTTCGATTTGCGCATTCTTGACATTTCACGTAAACAGAATCATACACTATGTGGCCTTATGTGACTGCCTTGTTTCACCACCATGACGTTGGAAAGGTCCATCCATGTTGTAATGGGTATGGAGACACCATATTTTGTTCATTCCTCTGTTGATGGATATCTGGGTTTTCACTCTTTCCCTATGAAGGATAATTCTGCTGTGAAGGTTTGTATACACATTTGGTGTAAACGAGAAAGCCTCTTACTGGATTCCTCCAAGGAATCCAACAAGGATTGGATGTATTGAAGTCCTCCAAGCCAGATCCAGGACGCCTTCTCTGTGTGGTGCTGCAGATCATCCTGTAGCTCCTAAACTTGCTTCTTTCAAATGAAGAACGTATTCTGAGAGAGCTAGTTCACTCCAGCACGCATCCTTTGGATACGGCATCAATGTATTATTTTCTCACTATTTCATATGACTAGCCGGTTATTCACTTGATTTTGCTACCTGCAATAGCCCATCTTAGCTCATCCTATAGGTAATCTCATATGCAAAATGCTTGGGATGAGAAGTGTTTCTGATTTTGGATTTTTTCAGATTTTAGAATATTTGCATTATATATACACACTCACCTGCCGGTTGAACACCTGAAATCCAAAAATCCAAGATCTGAAATGCCCCAGTGAGCTTTTCCTTTGATTGTCATGTCAGCACTCAAAAGCCTTCATATTGTGGAGCATTTTGGATGTCAAACTTTGGGATTAGAAATGCCCCATCTGTAGTCTTCTGATGTTCCTGATGCCTCTGTCAGACCACAGTTGGCTCATCCATGTGGCTTTATTTTACTCCATTCTCAGGACCGATTGCATTGCTTTCTCCCTTGAGTGGCCCTTTTCTGAATGAAATTTGCCATTCTACTCCGAGAGGACTCTTGACTTTAAGCAGACTTGTCTGAAACGTGATTTTTGAATATTTAGTTTATGTCATTCTAGTCAATTTCTTTATCTCCTAATTGCATTATCCATCATCCCAGTAGAATTACAAAGCATTTCTAGAAGATTCATTACGTCTTGGCTGCCTGCTGGCAAGGATGTGATAACAAAGGCATAGTCAGGGCCGCCTTGGCAAGTACTTGTGTTTCAACCTCGGAGGCCTTCTCTTGCCATTTTCCTAAAGGAAGGCTTGATTTTCCTGATTTTGTCTGAAGGGCATAGGCAACAGGGGCATGTCTTCTTGAAGGAGAGGGGAGAGTCGTGGGGCAGAAGACCAGCTCTCTGGTTCTACTCTGAGGAAGGGACAATAGGGCATTTGTCAGGCAATGAGGTTGATTAAAAACATCTCAGTCCGAGGTGTGTGGGATTCCAGGGATGAGTTATATGCCTCATTCATAGAACACTTTTCAGTGTATTTCTCCTGCATTGTATTGCAAATCCTACCTCAGGGCCTTTGCACTGACTCTCCAGCTTCCTTCAGGCTTCTGCTTGTGGGATTTCCCATCTGAGAGGCCCTCACTGAATACCTTTCCCCTCCTCATCTGCCACCTTTACTCTGGTCCCCTTACTTGACTTTGCTTTTCTTCACTTGCACCATCTGGCATAATATACATTTATTTATTTATTGTTCCTCACCAGAATGACAGCTCTGTGAGAGCACCCCGTTCACTGTTACATGCTTAAAGCATAAGACGGTTCTCAGAAGATGAAAGGGACCCAGCAAATGTGGACTGAATGAATGAATGCATTCGATTTTATGAAAACCCTGGGACAGTGGCATTATAATTCCCATCATGTGGGGAAGAAACCTAGACTCAGAAGACTTGGGAGAATTAGTCCAGGTCAGGAGGTAGTCGCTGCCGAGCAGGAGTTGAGCCCAGCTCTTCTGGGTCCTGGTGCAGCCATCTCTCAGGCTCGCGGGGCCCAAGAACAGATGCTGGAGGTCATCCGGATGTGATCAGAAGATGCCTCAGACTGCGGCAGGAGGTAGCGTCGGAGGTAGCACTGGAGTGGACATTTTAGGAATTACAGAGCAAGGGTTTCCTGTGGCCTGAGAAAGAAAACCGGAAGCCACTGAAAGCTGGCCAAACAGCAGTGGGAGAGGCTTGGTGCTGAGGGATGGGCGAGCCGGGGATGGAGGAGAGATTGAGAGGTGGAAACGGCTGTGGAAGCTCCTAAGCAGAATGGAGGGCCCAGCAGTGACGTTTTAGGAGCCTAGTGGTGATCTCAGGCTGCCCAGTGCACCCCACCCCAGCAGTGCACCCCACCCCAGCAGTGCACCAGACGCTTTGTTCCCTGACCAAACTGAGGGTTGGGCTGCTTATTTTTTTATTTTTATTTTTGAGACGGAGTCTAGCTCTGTCACCCAGGCTGAAGTGCCCTGGCACAGTCTCGGCTCACTGCAGCCTCTGCCGCCCAGGTTCAAGCAATTCTCCTGCCTGAGCTTCCTGAGTGGCTGGGATTACAGGCGAACACGACCATGCCCGCTACTTTTTGTATTCTTAGTAGAGACGGCGTTTCACCATATTGGTCAGGCTGGTCTCAAACTCTTGACCTCAGGCAATCTGCCTGCCTCAGCCTCCCAAAGTGCTGGGATTACAGGTGTGAGCCACGGCGCCTGGCCCAGGCGGCTTATTTTCACAACCCAATAACGAGATGCAGATGAACTGGGAAAGCGGGGAAGTTACTTCTGAAGCTGGGTACAGGGAGAAGGCCTGGAAAATATCGCCAGACCAACTCAAAATTACAAAGTTTTCCAGCGCTTATGTACCTTCTAAGCTATATGTCTACATGTAAATGTGCATTCATCTAAAGACAGAAGTGATTAACTTCGTCCAATCTGTAACCAGGATCTGAGTCCCAAAGACCTTCCTCTGGAGCCTCAGTAAATTTACTTAATCTAAATGTGTCCAGGTGCCAGGGCTGATTACCTGTATCTTTTCTCCTGCTAAATCATGGAGGTTTGGGGAGTCACTTCAGACCCACAATACACTTGTTTAATCCTAAATGGGTCCTGTTAAGAATTCTTTCATTTGGGAGGCCGAGGCGGGCAGAGCATGAGGTCAAGAGATGGAGACCATGCTGGCCAACGTGGTGAAACCCTGTCTCTACTAAAAATACAAAAGTTAGCTGGGTGTGGTGGCAGGTGCCAGTAGTCCCAACTTCTCGAGGGTGCACTACTTGAGGCAGAAGAATCACTTGAACCTGGGACACAGAGGTTGCAGTGAGCCAAGATCACACCAGTATACTCCAGCCTGGCAATAGAGCGAGACTCCATCTCAAAAAAAAGTTTCTTCATGATTTTGTCATGCTTTGAGGTCCAGGAAAGGCCCGGGCAAGCCTCTTGGTGGGCTTTTGTTACATTGCAGCCTTTGTATATGGGCACTGGCTCTCATACAAAGTTTCTAATATTTAACCTCATCACTTAGTCAGTGTTGAGACAGCTATTATGGAGGCCCGCCTGTTCTGCCATTAGGGAGACCTGGCCTGCCACAGTTTCTCCAGTGAGGGTTTAACTCTTGGAGGGGCAGCAGCAGGGGGCTGATTAACTCCTGAATGTGGTGCCAATGAGAAAGAGGTGTGGAGAGTGAGAACCAATGAAATCGCCCTTCCTCTGGCTGGATCATACCTTGGGTTTTTTACTGCAGCAGATATTAATTATATAGATGGGGAACGTACTTGTTTTCAGTTTATGAAAGTAGGTTTGCTTTTCCTGCTTTTCTTCCTCAGTTTGTGGTAGAAACTGGCTGGAAATTTTAGATTTAACCTGGAATGTTCCATTCATCACATGACTTCTGTCTGATTGCCCAGAGCTCTAAAAGTACATACAATGGTCATATCATCTGTGACTTTTTTTCGGTCGTGTTTAGGGGAAGTATTTAATAGTGGTTGATACTTCTGCCCTTTTTAGGGTATGGTACATGTATTTGTTGAGGGACCGATTGCTGCTGCAAGAAGCAAACCCTCACGTGCATCATTGTTGAAGTGAATTCTTTTTCTGCTCAGGTGAATCCAGAACAGGTTTTGCTTATGTGGGCAGCTCTGTGTAGCAGCTCTTGCATGTTAGTGTTGCTGTATTTGGTTCCCCCCTTTCAAGGTTGCTGTGCTTGTCGCCATCAAACAGGAGGAGGAAAGACCCTGGCAGAAAAAGCCTGGGCAGTCAAGTGGGCCAGGCCAGGAGTGCACCTCATTGGCTACAGCTCTGTCCTGTTGAGGTTAGGAAAGGGAGTTGAGCAGTGTGGGGGAAGAAGCAGAAGCAAGCTTAGTACGATCATCTTTAAAAGTAGGTAGTTTTGGTTGGGGGCAGCAGCTTACGCCTGTAATCACAGCACTTTGGGAGGCTGAAGGTCAGGAGTTTAAGACCAGCCTGGCCAACATAGTGAAATCTACCAAAAATACAAAAACTAGCTGGGTGGGGTGGTGGTGCACGTCTGTAATCCCAGTTACTGGGGAGGCTGAGGCAGGAGAATCACTTAAACCCAGGAGGCGGAGGTTGCAGTGAGCCAAGATTGTGCCATTGCACTCCGGCCTGGGGGACAAGAGCAAAACTTTGTCTCACTTAAAAATAAATCGTTTTTTTCTTTTTAACATACTTCGATTATGTTCTGGAAAGTTATGTCCTTGGATACCCCATTTTGCAGATGAAGAAGTGGAAGCTCACAGAATTAAGTGACTTGTTCCCGGGTCACAGAGCGCAGGTGCCGGTGTGTGGTCTGGAATCCAGACCTCATTCCTTACCTTGTCCTGTACTTTCTTTCTGCGAGTTTTTGAGTGTGGCCAACAGTCGTACTGCTAGACTTTTCTGTGTGTGCAGTGCCAGCTGTTGGGAGGATCGTAGTCATCACCACCATCTGAAGAGGTTCTGGGGGCCTCAGCTCCTCCGTGACAGCAAGCAGACCCAGGGAGAGGGGGCCGTGGGGATACTCAGTGAGGAATGAGGGTTTTCAGAATCTTTTGAGAAGAGGAAGAGGTGTACATTAAAATCGAGTGCCCCAGAGATTGGGGGAATTGGAGAGAAGACACAGGATTAAAGAGAAACACATATGCAGACAACCCCCCCCAACCCCGCCTGCAGGCTCCACCACCCCAGTGCTTGGGAAACCCAAAACCAAGCGGAAGGAAACATTTATCCCCCTAGATGCTTGGATGTTCCATAATGATTTAGAGGCCGGAGATCCTGCTGAAATCCCTGGATTCTATGTGCTACTGAAGAAGGACTTTGAAAACTGCACCTGACACTTGGAAATAAATCACCTCCTTTGTGAGGAGCAATCTCATTTGGGCCTCTGAGCCTCTCTCCGGCTTCAGGCTCTCTAAAAATATCCGGCATTGACTGTTGATTTTAGAATCCAGAGTGGAGGCTCCCTCCCCACCCCACCCTATAACTTCCCTTCCGTTTTCTTTTCCTGTGTGGCCTGCTCATCCTTCCTCCTCTCACCAGCCTGGCCTCCCGTAGGGAGTGGGAGTTGGCGGGCTTTGCCCAAGGGAGGGTTTTGTTGAAGGCACCAAGTCCAAAAGGAATCTTTCGCCTACAGGTGCACTTGGATTGTGGGCAGCTAGCAGGATGTGACTGTGTGTGTGTGTGTGTGTGTGTGTGTGTGTGTGTGTGTGTGTGTGTGTGTTGAGGGAAATTCTTAGGAGTGAGTGTGGGTGTGCACACCTGCTCTAAATTGCTTCTACTGCCAGAATTTACTCCTGGAGGAATCAGGAAGGAGTAAGCCCTTAGTCATTTGAGCCAGTGCAACCTCGAGGATATTGATTCCAGCTTCTTGCTGTCATTGAAGGGAGGAGAGAAACTTAAATAGGGGCCTTCAAGGAGGCTGTGTGAAGCTTTCCTAATTCGGTGTCATTTTCATGCAGTTTTGTTAAGAATTGGTATATTCCATCCTCTCCTGGCTCATTCTGTGCGTCACCCAGAAGGCCTCAGAGCCTCATCATTTTGGCAGGCACAGGGCATTTGTGCCCAGCTAATTATGGGCAGCTCTGATCCGAAGTAACAAGGTTGAGTCAAGATAGATTTAGAAATGACCGAGACAGAAACTGGCCTGGGCTGGCAGCCCCCACCACACCGTGACTGCACCCGTGGCTCAGATGAGGTCAGGGCATTTTTGCTTTGTGACGGATTTGGGACGCAGAGAAAAGAGTTCAGGCTTTGTACTGACCGAGGCCAGCTCTGACGCCAGTGCCGACAAAGAGGTTTGCAGCCAGGGAAGCGGAGGGACCAACAGCTCAGATTTTAGCTGAGGATGATTCTCATGGTCTGTGACCAAGTTCCCACTAATGTATCATGAGTACCAGCCTCTCTAAGGAAGATGCTTTTATTCTCACTGTGCACAATGCTACATCACTGTGTCCCAAGGGTACATGGGACAGAAAAATCCTTGTTAAGAACTGGGCACAAAACTGCAGTTCTGAACATTTCAGGATATGAACCTTTCAGGGTACTGTGACTAGCACTCAAAGTTTTGTGGACTCAGGTTTTCATTAAAGCACCAGGCAGGGAAGATGATGTGCTTTCCAAATGCCAATTGTGAGAACATTTAATTGAATGGGACCCTCAGGAGCAGTAACCATTCTCAGATCCCAGTTAACCTGGCACATTCGAATGTCTCAGCAGTGGAAGGAATTCATGCCTGGGTTTTGGTGACGCTTCTCAAACCGAGCATATGGCACTGTTGATGGAAAAAGTTGATTTCATCATGAAGCAGAAAGATAAGGTGGTGCTTTGTAGAATGTAAAAAGTCTAACCCCAGCTTCTGCAGAGAGCTGGGCTGCTGCACTACCCATTATGTTGTATGGCATTTGACTTCCAAAGGGCAGCTTTGGTCACGGAGGAGAAGACAAAAGCATCATGCAGTGTTTTGGGGGATTTTTTTGGACAGCAGGAGACCTGAGATGTAATTTGTACTTTTGAACTCGGCTTTCAGATCACTTTGTAAAGGGCTTTAAAATGTCTTTGTAAATGATCCAGATGAGTTGGGCTCTAAAGAAGTTTTGAAATACCTTAATCTAGGTGTGCTGCTTTTTATCGTTTCTAAAAAGCAAAAATGGATTATCAGATGGTAGGAACCTATGTCTAAATAAACCCAGTGAGCTCTGACATTTATATTCATTTAAAATATTAAAATAACAAGTAATAAGAGAGGTTTTTAATTTTCAGAGCATGTTGCAGAGGCATAAGGAAGCAGAGTGTACTGTGTTCTACATTAACTGTTTTACATCAGAAGTGAACAGTAGTATAGATTAATCCACGAGAGTATAAGTAACGTGGTAAAAACCCGTCTCTACCAAAAGAAATACAAATATTAGCTGGGCGTGGTGGCACATGCCTGTAATCCCCGCTACTCGGGAGGCTGGGGCAGGAGAATCGCTTCAACCAGGGAGTCAGAGGTTGTGGTGAGCAGTTGAGGTTGTGCCATTGCACTCCAGCCTGGAGACAGAGGGAGACTCTGTCTCAAAAAGAAAAAAAAGGAGAAATAACTCCCCCATTTGAAGCTTTATATGGTGATCTGTGGTAGAATGTCCCTCCTCTGGATATGCCTTCCTTTGGCTAACGGAATCATTTGTCTCCCCACTTTCTCTGTAGTACGGAGGTGCTGTTGTGGGGACGTTACCCAGAAACATTGCCACATAAAGACAGCACTCGACATACAATGATAATCATATGGATAAGACATACATTACACAGATAATCCCATGTGAAATAAATTAAAACCATTTTACAGCTGGATTAATTGTTTGGTCTTTGTTTCATTGACTTCCAGACCTTATGATCACTCCTATTTTCCAGGATCGTATTATCTCTCAAATATCAACAGCAGAGTTTTTGGATGTGTTGTTTTCAACCAGTCTACTGTTGGGGGACCACTAGGACACAGTGGCAGGACTAAAGGTCAAGGTCACTTCAGGATTCTCCCAGATCCCGCTGGCCTAAGGCTCTCTCCGTGTCTGCTTTGTCTGCAGGATTCAGCACCAAGAGCTCTCAAGAGCAAATCCACAGGCAGCTAAATCAAGAAAGCTCTCTTCCCTCCTCCTTGCTCCCCTCTTCCTGCAGAGATGCAAGATGGCTTTGAAATGCCCTATCTTCCTTCCCTTTTGATTGCCTTATTTGTTCAGATGCTTCCATCCTGAACATTTTCTAGAGTCCCCTGCCTAATCGCCCTGGAAAGTACCCAGGCAAGCCTCTCATAGCCCATCCATCAAAGCACAGTGCACGTCTCCTTTCTCAGACAGAGGACAATAATCACCAGTGCCCACACAGAGTGTGGGCCCTGAGTTTCAGTGCAAGATCAGAGACTGGAAAAGTGTGTATGCCCCTCCCTACCATACAGTCTTTTACTTCTCCACCTGGGGGAAACAGCAGACCGAGGACAGGGAAGAGAAGCTTAGCTGGCATCATGAAAATGACACTTTCTACTCTCCTGTGAGCTTTCTTTCAAGTTGATTCCGCTGAGTTCTGCTTGGATTAGTAAATACAGAGAGTGAGTCATAGAGTAGCCTGTATTTATTATGCAGCATGGAGGTGTCCTGGCTAGAACAGGGCCCCTAATGTATCACATCTTCTCACTAGATGAGGCGAATAGGGCCCCAGAAACCACCGTGGGAACCAGCCGCATCAAATTCTGGTGCTAACAGAGGAAGTTCCATCACAGACAAGGAGTGAGAAGAAGCCAGGGTAGAAACAAGCGACCCCTGCTTCCTTGTGAAGCTTCATTCCCCAGCCCATTCTCCAGACAGACAGAGGGTGCACACGCAGACACACAAGCACAGCCTTTGCACCTGTGGCCACACGTGCACACTCACGACGTGTCCAGCTTCTTTTTCTTTTTTCTTAAATATATTATTGTACTTTAGGTTCTGGAGTACGTGTGCAGATCATGCAGGCTTGTTAAGAGGGTGATAGCTAGCGCTATCGTGATGTCTTTTTTAAGAGGAACATGTGCACAATCTTAATGATATGGCCCTGAAGTACATACTAGGTATATACCTGGCAATGTGGTTTGCTGCCCCCATCCCGCTCCATCCTTCTCCATTCCCCCCACCCCCTTTCCTCCCGCCCCATCACCTATATCTGGCTTCTTTGTATCCTCACAGCAGGCACTGCACTGCCTGTGGTTAACCTTAGGGTGGCGCTGTTTATTGGCACCTTTTTGCTTGGCACATTCTGGTTTCTCTGCATGGAATCTCCCTTCCCTTCCCCTACCCAGAGGATCCGGCAAACTCTTGTTACTCCATGTAGAGTCAGCTTAGAGGTTCCTTCCTTTCAGAAGCCATGTCTGCCTCCACCACCTCCAGCACAAGGGTTTGCTTCCGGGTCTGCGCTGTGTGTAGCGCTGTCACCTTGAATCGTTTTTTGGTGCGATTGCAGCGGTTGCTCATACACTTGTGTCCCCACTACACACTTTGGGAGGTAAAGCTCATCTTTTCATTGTATATAACGTTTATAGAAACGTGCCTGGCACACAAAGGCAGTTAGTAGGCGTTTATTGAATAAATGAGTGAATAAATCATTTTCTGGGGTAGGAGTGGTATAGAATATACTAGTGGATACTAAGAACTAATTGTTGTTGTGAAACAAAATTTCATGTGTTTGTCTCTTTTTATAATTTTTTTTTTTTTTTTTTTTTTGAGATGGAGTCTTGCTCTGTTGGCCAGGCTGGGGTGCAGTGGCTCAATCTCGGCTCATTGCAACTTCCACTTCCCAGGTTCAAGTGATTCTTCTGCCTCAGTTTCCCAAGTAGCTGGGATTACGGGTATGTGCCACCACGCCCTACTAATTTTTGTATTTTTGGTAGAATCAGGGTTTTCCGTGTTGGCCAGGCTAGTCTCGAACTCCTGACCTCAGGTGATCCACCCACCTTAGCCTCCCAAAGTGCTGGGATTATAGGTGTGAGCCACCATGCCTGGTCTCTTGTTAAAATTATTATTGTCTTTCTATCAAAAAACATTACCAAAATCTGCCTGTACTTCGTAACACTCAATGTATAGAATTCCTCTTCTGGTGGAAGTGATCCACATTTGGCCTGGTATCTTAGGGACTCACCCCTACATTCTCCCAAGAGAGGTCCCGTTCTTCAGTGGAAGAGATCTAGCTATGTCCGCAGGTTTCCTGGTGGTGGGGGCTCGTCACAGACCTAGTTGAGCATCAGGGGAGTTGGGCAGGTAAGCCCTTTGAACTGCTGAGTGGAAGAAAACTTGACCTGGGCGCAGTCATAGGTTTGGACTCTAACTTCTTAGCCAGTTCTGTATGTATTAGAATCCTCTAGCATGACAGTTGCCATGATGACCAAGGAAGTGAGTATTTTTCCCCTCAGCTAAATGTTAAAAGACAAAAAGGCTATTCCTGCTCACCCAGAAAAGCATTTTAGCTCTAGCAGAAAACAAAACAAAAGAAAGTCTTACAGCCTTAAAATCAAAAAGAGGCATTGAAATATAGTACCTTCTCCCCACGCTGATCAAAACACTTCACGAGCGAGCACATGTGGCCCGTGCAGGAGAGAGGCTGAGTATGTTATGAACCAACATTTTAGTGTGTCTGTAAAATCTGGCCAGAGCACAGCGTATTTGCATGCCTGTCTTTGGGCTCTGTTTCTAAAACAAGGAGAGTGGTGATGAAATCCGCAGCTGGTGAGCTGGCCCCAATCCTGGGCAGTTTGTGCTCCATCACGCCCTGGAGCAGCCAGCGACGTTGCTGGAGCCACTGATAGGAGGTGCCTTTGGGGTACGCAGAGTTGTGGAGCCATCTCCTTTCTCTGCAGCCAACATACCAGAGTCAACGTGGAACTTGAGGTCTGTGAGCGTTTGCTGAGCCTGTGACCAGGAGGCACTCCTGGAGAATGACAGCAGGGAAGTAGGAGACAGGTAGTATCCAGCTCCCAGGGACCCACGAGGGGTCTTAATGAAACAATGTGGTTCTTTCTTAAGTGAACCCGTTTCTCGCATTAAGCTGTCAGACCTGCAGGTTTCTCCTGATCAAAAACAGGCATCTAGGGTGGATCCTGCCTCTGTGCAGTGCCCTGCTTTGGTGAGGCAGTGCCCATGTGAACATGAAGTCCCCTTCAGATAGGCAGTAGCTTTCTCAGGCTGGAAGAGTAGACAGAGCTTCTACCTGTTGGCATGATTCAGGTATGAGGGAGTTTGCTGTCCTCAAGCCGCTAATGCCCTTAGCAGGTGAAGGGGGGTGTGTGTGTGTGCGTGCGCGCGCACACGCAAATCCTTAAACAGGTATGGGCATATGTAGTGAGTCTTCGTTATTTGTGGTTTGTGTATTTGGGAATTTGCCTATTTGCTAACACATATTTGCAGCCCCCAGATCAATCCTCATGGCACCTTTGAAAACGTGTGCATGGTGGGGAAACATTTGAGTTGCCTGATGTGCCTGTTCCCAGCTGAGGTCAAGCAGGGTGACCTCTGCCTTCTTGTTTAAGCTCTCATGCTGTAAACAAGTGTCCTTTCTGTGGTCTATTCGATGTCATATTCTTAGATGTTTTTGTGCTTTTGTTGATGATTTTACTGCTTGATAAGACCCCAAGCACAGTACTGAAGTGCGGAGTAGTGTTTCTAAGTGCAGGATGCCTGTGGCATGCCTTACGGAGAAAACATGTGTTAGAGAAGCTTCATGCAGGCACGAGTTACAGCACTGGTGGTCATAAGCTCCGAGTTAATGAATCAGCAATATACATTAAATAGGGTGCCTTTAAACAGAAACACACTTAACACAGGTTATATGGTGATGAGTTGAATAAAATGTTGTGAACAGAGGCTTGTAACAACCTAACTCTGTATTTCCCCAGCAGCTGTGGTTTCGTGTTCACCAGTTCAGTATTTGTGGTGACTTTCTAGAACGTAACTGCAGTTTGAGTATCCGTTATCAGAAATGCTTGGGACCAGAAGTGTTTTGGATCTTGGATTTTTTTTTTTTAGTTTGAAATATTTGCATTATATTCCTTACCAATAAGCATTTCCTTTGAGTGTCATATTGGTGCTCAAAAAGCTTAGGATTTTGGAGCATTTCAGATTTTGGATTTTTGGATGAGTGATGCTCAACCTGTACCTTGAATAATGAGAATTTACTATATAAAGGGCTGAGGGAAAGGATTTTTTCCCCCTAGAGACAGAGTCAGTTCTGTCACCAGGCTGGAGTGCAGTGGCACAATCTTGGCTCACTGCTGTCTCCGCCTCCCAAGTTCAAGTGATTCTCCTGCCTCAGCCTCCTGAGTAGCTGGAATTACAGACGTGTGCCACCATGCCCAGCTAATTTTTTGTTTCTTTTTTGTATTTTTGGTAGAGATGGGTTTTTACCATGTTGGTCAGATGGTCTCGATCTCCTGACCTCGTGATCTGCCTGCCTCAGCCTCCCAAAGTACTGGGATCATAGGTGTGAGAAAGGGTTTTATGTAGAACTCTGTACCTATGACACCGTATTTGAACATGTCTACTGTATTTGAAGTCGTATAGAGAAGTCTCTAGTACGCAGATTGTGCCTTCACACAGGTGGCTGCGCTGGTTTGGGAGGTAGATATGGGAGATGAGGGTGCTCAGACCAAGGTGCTATGGTCTGAACGTTCGTGTGAATCGAATCGTAACCCAAGGTGAGTTAGGATTTCAGCAGAACTTGAATACGTCATGATGAAGGAGCCCTCCTGATGGATTAGCACACTTATGAAAGAGGCCTCAGAGAGCTGCCTCACCCTCTCTACCATGTCAGGGTGCACCTAGGACATGCCGTCTGTGATCTAGAATGTAGCCCTCCAACAGATAACAAATCTGCGGGTGGTGCCTCCTCTTGAACTGGTAGATTCCACAACTCTGAGAAGTAAATTTCTGTTGTTTATAAGCCACCCAGTCTGTGGTATTTTGTTACAGAACCTCAAACAGACTGAGGCACAAGGCACCAGGGAAATGCATGAATTGATCCATCTTCAGTACAGTGGATTTATTGGGAAGGGTGCTGCATTGATGAGCCTGTGTCCCCCCGGTCAGGACAGAGGCCCAGGGAATGCCCTCACGTGGCCTCCGGTGTGGTTCCTAGTGCTGCCTCGGTCCTCCAGGTTTGGCTGTGGATGAACTGTGCCTTTGTCCACACATACATAGAAAAGGACAGTGGGGCTGGGTGCAGCACTTTGGGAGGCCAAGGCGGGTGAATCACCTGAGCTCAGGGGTTCAAGACCAGCCTGGCCAACATGATGAAATCCTGTTTCTACTACAAATAGAAAAATTAGGTGGGTATGGTGGCGCATGCCTGTAATCCCAGCTACTCAGGGGCTTGAGGCAGGATAATTGCTTGAACCCAGGAAGTGGAGGTTACAGTGAACCAAGATCACTCCACTGCACTCCATTCTGGGTGACAATGCAAGACTCTGTTAGAAAAGAAAAGAAAAGAGCAGCGGGCAGAGCCCTGGGGCAGGGGAACTGAGGCAAAAGAGGGATTGCAACCCCTCTGCTCTCTCATTTCCCCTTGAAGTAGTGGTCTTGGATATCCAAGGAATGGATGAATTCTCAGGTGCCTGCTCCTCCCAGGCACTTCGTACTGGATGTCTCTGAACTAGACAGCAGCCCTCTGAGAAACCATCATCTCCACTCTGCTCATGACGAGCAGGCACAGCAAGGTGACCTGCATTGTCAGAGGACACACAGCTAGTAGTAAGGGATGGAATTTAAATTCAAACCTATGACAAGTAAAGATACAATTATCTTGAGTTGGTGGCTGACTGGAAAAACAGATGTAATAGCAAGAAGAATGGGGGTGAGACTGGTGTTTTGTTTGTTTGTTTGTTTTGTCTGAGTGTCTAAAACCATGGTGCCTTTGAGGGAGATGAATCTGAGTGAGTGATCGCAGGACTTAAGCGTGAGTTGAGGCAGAGCTTCTCAGCCTAGGTGATTTTGCAACTTGTGACATTTGGCAGTGTCTGGATTCATTTTTGCTTCTTGTCATAACGGGGTTGGAGCACAGGGGAAGTGCTGCTGGCATCTACTGGGGAGAGGCCACAGATCTTGTCAAGTCTGCATCAGTGCACAGGACAGCATCTGCAACGAAGAATTACCCAACCCGAAATGTCAGTAATGCAAGCCTGAGAATACCTGATTCTCATGAAAGCAGGCTCTTGAAGTGGCTTGGTGGCTGTTCTGGGTCGGAGTTCAGAGACCCCAGACTGCCCATAGAACATATAAAGTGAGAATGCAATGTTGTGTCTGCATGGGTAATGCTTTCCTTTTGGGTTTCCGTTACATTTCCAGGCGGCAGAGCTAGGCAGAGTGGGAGCGTGTTATGAGCTGAAAAGTTAGAGACCATATCCGGAAACTTCAATAAAGGTATTTCCTTCTGATCTGCCATCATTCCTCGCTCAAAATTCACTTTTCTTTCTGCATTTTCTGTATTCAGTAAGATACGCTGTGTCTGTGAGCCAGGCCTATTGGTGCCTGTTCTGTGGCGAGCAGGAACGCATAGATGACAAGGCAGGCAAGAGAGAGTGTCCCTGGACCTACGAAAACAGGCTGTGGACTAAAGCCGTCTGGGAAAAGACTCACGGGAGGTGGGACAGCACTCAAGGCTCAAGGTCAGCCTGGAGTCCAAGGATAAGGATAAGAACTGGGACAGCAGGTTCTAGAAAGCCAGGTCCCTTCGTGAGACGTCAGCCTGACCTAAACAGACACGACACCACTGTTTTGTTTTTGTTTTTGCTTTTCTCTCTGTAAGCCTTCTTAGCATTTGCAGTGTATCCTGGGGGAGCTTACAGTTTTCAGAGACAGACTCATGAATAAAAATGAGTTGTGTAAATTCCTGAATTAAGAATATTTGCCAAGTGCTGCGGGCCTCCAGAGGAGGCGACGGGCACCTTGGCCTGGAGAAGCAGAGGAGGATGAAGGTTTCTGGGTGAGTCACTGTTGGAAACTAGAAGGCGAAGGGAGAGTCCAGGCAGAGGGCAGCGTGGTGGGAGGTAAAAGGTGCCAGTGGGCAGAGCCAGGCGGGGTAAGAGTATGCTGTGGGCAGGGCAGGGTGGCAGGAGGTGGGGCGACAAGGCCACAGGGAACTCCCCAGAGGACAGAGAATTGTGTGCCTCCTACACATGTCCACTGTGGCTTCCAGGGAGAATCCTTCTGAAAGAGGAAAGATACGCTATCCTGGCAGGAAGGCAGGGACGTTCACTTCCAGTCCCTCTGTGGCAAGGTGGGGGTGACCCTCTTTCCAACAGGTATGATGAAGCCAGTGTCCCCATTTAGCATCAAAATAGAGAAGACAATTTCTTCATTCAAAAAGCAAATCTTGCCGGCACTAGACACCCTTCACAGAGGGGTGGGCTCTGGGAACCTGCCTGCCTGGGTTCCCATCCCAGCCTCTAGGGTTCCTCTGTGTGCCTTCCTGGTAGTTAACTGAATTTGTCTCTACTGCAGTTCCCTATCTATAAAATGAGTAGAATAATTGTTCCTGCATCCATAGGTGTTGGATGAGATTAAATGATTTAGTACAAATAAAGTGCCTGGAATATTGTAAATTCTCAGAGTTCACCAGTGTTACTGTCCTTTGACCATTCTGGGAAAGCAGAGGAAAAGGGCTTTAAGAGAATGTCATGTTCCAGAGCTGAGCTGGTGAACGGGCAGCCAGGTGTGCTGTAATTGGCTACCAGGCGTGCATTTTTTAAACACTGAATTTGAATGGATGATCCCTGATCGTCATAGTGCATCCTCCACCACACCCTCTTGTCCTAAGCCTGTCCAGTGTCACACATGCAGCATCCCCAGCTCTCGGCTCCCTAAACATGAGAGCAGAGGACTCTGACGATTGTGTTAAGCAGAGAGAAGTTACAGGAGGAACCATTTGCTGGATGAGCCACAAATGGAGTCAGCTGTCACCCCACACACGTGGGGAGAGCCTTGCTTACAAAGCAGCTGTGTATTTCAGATGTTGAGTTCAGCCTGGGAGCTTGTTGATGATCACTTTTTATGGCAGCAGGTTCTGGGACCGGGGTGGGGCGGGGGGGCACCCTGCCAGCTTCTGTCTCCAGGAGGTGGCTGCAAGCGCATCCAGGTCCAGCCTACCTCTCAGCCTCTCAGACCTGCCTCTGCGCTGCTAGCACGGTCTCCTTCCTACGCCTCCACCTGAGCTGTTCTGTTTAACTGTGAGATTGCCCCTTACAGCTCCCCAGTGGTGGGCACTCAAAGGCAGGCAAGAGGAGCAGCCTGCCTTCCCTAGCACACACCATCCTGAAGAGCCATGCTGGTGGTGGAGCGGGGAAAGAACCCTGGCTCCAGAGGTAAATGACCTCACTGAGGTATGACCTTGGTCAGGTCACTGAGCCCTGCAGTCCTCTTCCCGGTCTGTAACCCCTGGGGTACCATATTGCTTGCAGCAGCACCTCATGTGGTGATTGGGTTGTCGGAGAGAGGCAGTGTGTGTAGAGGTGCCTTATTAGTGTTAATGTTAGCTACTCTGCAAATGATGGACACTCAAAACGAGCAGTGCTGCATTTCCTGAAGCGTGGCCACCTGTCTACAGCCGAGGCTAGAAAGCAGGAATGGGACATCAGTTGTGGTAAGGGTCCCAGACTGTACTGGAAAAGGACAGATGGAAGCAAAGAAACTCTATACACAGTGGATTTCAAAGAATTAGTACCAGAAAAAGACTGTAAAATACCTTTTTTTTTTTTTTGAGAAAGAGTCTCCCTCTATTGCCAGGCTGGAGCAGTGGTACGATCCTGGGTCACTGCAACTTCTGTTTTCTGGTTTCAAGCAATTCTTCTATCTCAGCCTCCTGAGTAGCTGGGACCACAGGCACGCACCACCAAGCCCAGCTAATTTTTTTGTATTTTTAGTAGAGACGGAGTTTCACCATGTTGGCCAGGATGGTCTTGATCTCCTGACCTCGTGGTCCACCTGCCTTGGCCTTCCAAAGTGCTGGGATTACAGGCATGAGCCACCGCACCCAGCCTGTAAAATATCTTAATAACTTTTGTATTTATCATGCTTTGAAATGACATTTCAGATATTTGGGATTAAATAAAATAGTAAATATTATTAAAATTAATTTTGCCTGTTTCTAGTTTTAAATGTAGCTACTTAATTTTTTTTTAATATGATAGAAAATTTACAGCGTATTTCACTTTAGACCAGCTGTATTTCAAGGGCTCACTGGTCAAATGAGGCTGTCATTGGACAACACAGCTGTAGCCACATACCAGTTGCATCTAGAACGTGCCATTGGCCTTTAAGACTTTTGATCCTTCTCCTTGGAGTGGCCTCAG